CTCACTGCGTCACACTGCTGCGGGAGGATAATCGGCCCTTGTGAAGTTACCTGCATGCAAGGATTACTACAGTTCAGTTCAGTCTAACCGGAGCGGCCCTGTTTCTCTGCCTATTCAGAGGTTATGTCATGTTTCTTTGAACCCTTGCAGCAAGTCCAGAGCTTCCTGAGTATGATGTCGTCTGATCGGCTGGCGAGAGCTCTCTTCCAGCTGGCTATCTGTGGAGGCTCCCTGGCTGCTCCCCTTGACCTGGTGCCCAAAGACAAGACGCCCAAAACCGCTGCAGAGGCTAAAACAGTGGACAACACAGCAGCAGCAACCCTCCCCAGTGAAGGTTTCTAATGAGAAAATAAAACATTAAAGTCTTGATTTCAGCCTGAGTTGATAATGAATGGATGTCCGTGGTTTGTAACTTACAGACAAAGTGAAGCAGTATTTGAAAGAGAGCCTGGCAGCTCAGAAGTCAGCCATCAGTCTGGGACACATCGCTGCTCTGGAGAAAAAGCTGACTGAACACTTTCACATCAAAGACTTCCTCTCCTTAAAACAAGGAACCTTCCTGAACTTCCTGGTCAAACACATCCAGGTACATATACTATTTCCTGTGTCTCTGGTGGTAAAATGTGCATCTTTAGAATCTTTTTAGAATTGTGGACAGCACCCCAACCTGTCTGTGTTTGTGTGCAGCTGCTGCAAGAAGCTCTGGGATCAGCTTTGTTTCTGGGAACTAGTGTTGAGGTCACAGGCAGTGGTTTCAGACCCTCCAGACAAGATGTGTTTGAATTCATTAAACAGTGCGGCAGCATATCCTCCACTGACCCAGAGGAAGTGAGTGCCTGATATCACGTCTTGCTGTGAAGGTAGAGATCAGCGTTGATATCTTCACGTATTTTCTCAGCTTGCTCACATTGAATCAGCCCTGAGGTCCCACTACAGAGTCCGGGATAGTCGGGACTTAGGCTATGGGACGCTGCAGCATCTATCTGACTTGGTCAGGAGGCAAAGAGAGCTTGCTGGAGGAGGAGGACTGAGTCCCATATACTACGAGTCTGTTCTGCTGGCCAAACACAGCAAATCAAGGTTGGTGATGTTGCTACGCAGAAATTTCTCAACCGAGAAAAAGTGCTGCAACTTACCTCTTATGTTTGTTTTTTGTACCTTAAACAGTATTGAAAGTGGCTATGAGTCAGTGGGACGCCTGGGTCAGATGTCTAAAGCCCAGGCACTGGCCAGCTTGCTTTCCTGCCCTCTGCTGGAGGATTTAAACACCTGGAGCCAATGGGAGCTGATCTTTAAACCATCTTATGGCCCCTTAAAAGACTTCATTGAGAGAAACGCAGGTACAAAACATTATATCTTGAACCTTTTAATGAAGTTCTGTACAGAGGGAAAATGATGCACAGTGTGGAAAATGCTTTAAAAATAAAAACCAGATTGCATGGTATGCATTGATATTGTATCCCCATCACTCTGAGCCCTCTGGATATATATTTTAGTGCAAACAATATCTGTTATTTAGTATGTAGTTTAGTAATTTAAGAGCATATGCCAAGTTTTGAACATCTCGGAACAGCTCTGCAGGGATTGAAGACATTCACAGCACAGGTGAGAAATTCTGTTAGCAGGACTATTATTTTTTTATAGAATTGACATTTTCTCAATAAATATGATGGAAAAAATTATTTTACACTCAATTCCTGTTAGGTTATTGAATTAATAACTGTGATTGTGAGCTTGTTTTGTTTTCTTTATTGACCAAAAGTTTTTACTCAAGCAGAACACCTGCTAGACAAGGCTAGATTCAATTCAATTCAGTTTGTTATAATGCCAATTCACACCACATGACATCTTAAGGCACTTTCATTCAACTAGATCATACAGTCAAATTCATTCAAAGTTTTCTATCTAAGAAAAACCAGTTGAATGCATCGACTCATTGGTCATTTCGCACTGCGGCAGCAGCAGCTTCTAGTAGAGCACGCACAAAGCTCAGAGTACTAAGTTAAAAGTTCTCTTTTCTGTTGCTGTTTAGTCAATAAAAGTACGTTTTAAGATCATTTGAGGCAAGAATATGATACTTTTAAGTGTTCCTATATGGCCCATATACTGATTTAATTCTTAATTAAAAAAAAAAGTTCAGACGTTGAGCGAACCATGGCAAGCAGTGGACCTCCGAGGATAACGGCAACCAGGGCTAACATTAGCCCGTCTGCAGAGGTCTGCATAGCTGTTTGTGAAGTACTGCTGGCTCTGATTGCGAGCTTTTTGTTTTATTTGGCAAAATGTTCATTTGATTTGTGTTTATCTATTAATTTTTTTTCTCCCACTAAATGAAATGTCATAATATATTATTATCTAATAACAGAAGGTGAAAAGCAGCTCCAGACGAGCCGAGCATGTGGTGACATCACAAGTACGCCTCTGTTCCAATTGAGCCATATTTATGCTGCATGCTCCCATTTTCCCCATGTCCATACTTTACTGTGTTCTTCTCAAGAGCATACTTGGCGAGGACACAAGTCCGTACTCGCGTTCTTGTGAATTGAGAAACGGCAATTGACTCGAGGCAATCCTGCACACTAAGCATGCTTGTAGCGACAGTGGAGAGGAAAAACTCCCTTTTAACAGGAAGAAACCTGCAGAACCAGGCTCGGTGTGAGCGGCCATCTGCCGAGGCCGACTGGGGTTCAAGGTGACAGATGAGAGTCTTATCTTGCTAATGCCTTTAAAAAAGTTTTGAAACCAGATTTAGATGTTTAGGTTAGAGGCAAAACTCCTCTAGACTGGAGGTTTATTTAACATTTTAATGTTTTCTTCAACTGTCTGTAGCTTGTTTTGATTAGCTGTACTGAATGTGGAGACCTGTACATTTATGCTTTGCAGACTTTGAGGTTACATAGGAAAACCTTGTCTCGAGCAGGCAGAGAAGACTATATGTTCTCCCTTGCAAAGATTAGCAATTACTGCTTGAATAAAGAGCACCGATGCTCATTTCATGGTAATATAAGACTTTTTTTTTTTCCCCTCACACCAATGTGAAGAAAGAAGCCACTTTTGGAAAATTTCTGTTTGTTCTTTTCTACAGCATTGTAGGGGAAGCAGAAAATATGATATACATGCACCTATTGGTGAAAAAAAGACACTGTACACCTTACTATAAGGCATGGCAGCATCATGTTGTGTTTATTCTTTCCTTCTATGAGGTAGGGGAATCCTTTAAGGTTTGAAGGGAAGATGATTGAGCTAATGACAGGGAAATCCAAGAGAAAAATCTGTTAGAAGCTGCTAATGCTGCGTTCACACCGGGGGCAGCTGGCGCGACAGCAGCAGCGAGTTTACATGCAAAGCCA